TACTTAGGCTTGTATTTCAGTTATGTATACATCTATGTGTATGTCTGTCTATACATATGTGTATGTATCAGTGACTATATATGCACTGACATATATATATATGTATACATATATGCACTGATATATGTATGAGATATATATATATACACACATGTATATATCAGTAGCATGACATATACATACTAGATCATGATATAAATGCAATTCTTTATTATGGATCCCAGTAAGAAGAAGGTTTGAGAAACATTGGGCTGAGAGACCTCTAATTCCTTTTTCTAACTATAAGATTGTAAACCTATTGATAACTCTTACTAGACCATAAACTTCTTTTTTAATTGTTAAGCATGGTAAAATACACATAGTATGAAATTTACCACTTTAATCATTTGTAAGTGTTCAGTTCAGTAGCATTAAGTACATTCACATTGTTGTGCAGCCATCATCACCAATCATCTTCAGAACTTTTTCATCTTTTCAAACTAAAACTTTGTCCCCATTAAACAATAACTGCCTATCCCCCCCCCAACCCCGCCCATGGCAATCGTCATTCTATATTCTGTCATGTAAGTGGGATCACACAATATTTGTCTTTTCGTGACTGGCTTATTTTGCTTAGCATAATGTCCTCAAGGTCCACGCATGTTGCAGACTGAATTTCTTGCAAGGAGAACTGTCTTATTCATGTGCCCTTATTCCCAGGTACAAAATAAGGGCCCAAAGGTCCAACTAAATCCAAGTATTTCTTAACTGGAAAAAACTCCATCTTTAGGGAGATACTTTTTTCTAAGGACCCATCAAAGCGAGAGAAATCTTGTGTCCTGAGCAAACTGTTGAGGAGACATACTATTGGCCTTGGAGTAATGGGAGTGTCTCCGTTTTTGCTTAATATCTAGATTTCATTTGGCTTCATAAAAGAAATCCAAGAGCCCAGCCAGTGTGACTCAGTGGTTGAGTGTTGACCTATGAACCAGGAGGTCATGGTTCGATTCCCAGTCAGGGCACATGCCCAGGTTTGGGGCTGGATCCCCAATAGAAGGTGTACAGAAGGCAGCCAATCAATGATTCCCTCTCATCATTGATGTTTCTATCTCTCTCTCCCTCTCCCTTCCTCTCTGAAATCAATAAAAATATATTAAATTTAAAAAAAAAGAAATCCAAGAGCCAAGTGGGGTTGGCTGCCTTCTTTCATTCAACCAGGCCATTTGAACCACGTTCTCTCTATGGGACAGAGATGGGATGACTGATAAGATTTAAAATAGAGCAACAAAGCCTGATGAACCGAGATCCAGAGAGAAAGGCAGTGGACCAGAAAAGGAAGGCGAGAGAGAGAGAGAGAGAGGAGAGAGATAGTGTCTACATTAACCCAACAATATAGAAAGAAGAGTAAAATTCAGATCTTTTATGTTCTTGATTTTAAATAATTGGATATTTTAAAAAAATAAAGATCATAACCAAAGAAAGGTTTACATTTTTCCTGAACCCCGAAGATGTTCTCCCTGGATATTTTATATTATTTTCAACTTACCTGGAGATTCCCATTTGGAGGCATAGGATTCCCAGATATTTTGAAGTCACGGATGGTTAGAAATTAGACTTTTTTTTTTTTTTTGCAGGGGGATGGAAATTATAAAATATGCAAAATGTAATTTTCATAATGCCCTGTAATTTTTATTTTATAATTTTTATAAGAACCAAACTCTCTCTTCTCTCTCTCTCAGCTTGGGAAATAAACATTCATCATGTACAATTCAGTGTGCTCTTAAAGTGAGAATTTGCTATATTTAGAGATGTGATAGTCTGGAAAAGGTTACTTTTTCTACTTTTCTTTGAGGAGGAATAAAGACCAAAAAATTTTCTTCTGCTGTTTAAAAAAGCATTTTTGGGGTTGTTTATTTATTTATTTATTTATTATTTGAATTTTTAATCCCACTAGAAGGACAGAAAGACAGATATGGGTATATTAACCCCGCCCCATATACCCCTCTCCATCTCCCCGACCAAAGCTCACTGGCCTTTTTCATCAATTAAAACTGACAGCCAGCCCTAGCCAGTTTGGCTCAGTGGAAAGAGCATCAGCCTACGGACTGAAGGGTCCCAGATTTGATTCTGGTCAAGGGTACATGCCTGGGTTGTGGGCTCAATCCCCAGCGTGGGGCATGCAGAAGGCAGACAATCAATGATTCTCTCTCATCATTGATGTTTCTATCTCTCTCTCCTTCTCCCTTCCTTTCTGAAATCAATAAAAATAAAAATTAAAAAAACTGACAGCCATGTATCCACCCCCTCAGGGTCCTGCTGTCAGAGGTGGGTGGTGGGAAGCAGGAGGACAGAACAGATCAGAAGGGGCAGAGTCTGGGCTGGTTGGCCTAACATATGACAGGGCCCAGACAACCTGGGAGTTCAGAGAACAAACCAGAGAATGTGAATCAGAAAAAAGATCTGAGCTCAGACACTAGAGTAAAAGGTCCAGTGGGGGAGGGGGGGGCAGAGTGCAGAATTCCAGTGGGTCATTTAGGTGTCAAAGCCCAGAAATCCAGACCAGGTAGGAAGCAAGGTTCAAATTGAGTACAGTAGTGCCCCGCCCCCCCACCTCCCACCTTATCTGCTGTTTTGCTTTCCACGGTTTTAATTACACTTGGTCAACAGTCATTTGAAAATATTAAATGGAAAATTCCAGAAATAAGCAATTCATAAGTTTTACCTTGCGTGCCATTCTGAGTAGCGTGATGAAATCTCACTCTGCCCCACTCTGTCCTGCCTGG